CTACTGCTGCAATACTCTGCTAGGGGTTAAATCCTCAATCCCTAACAAATTATAATACAAATTACAAAATAATGCATTAATACAAATTAAAAACTAATTAAAAGCCAACTAAAAAGCCTGGGAAATAGTAAGGTTTTCACCACATACCAAAATGTTAGTAGGGTGCCATTTGAGCTTCTCTTAGAAGGAAATCCATAAATGGGAATCACCACCACCAAAAAAAAGCTTTCTCTCTTATATAGATCTACCTCACCTCCTTTGTGGAAGTGGATCCCATTAGAGGAGAACATCTTGAAATCTGTTGGGAGGTCCACTCTAGAAGATTTCAACTAATTAACTATTTGATTTTTAAGAGGATATTTAAGAGGATTAAGCAGAAAAAAAGGGATTAGAAAAATGTACTCTGACCTTCCAAAAAAGAAGTGTTACATAAATGCAATTAATATTTCATAGGCTGCACTTTTAAAGTTTTGGAATAATGATTGTTTATGACAGAAATAAGCTGTTTACTGACTGATATTAAGGGTGAAACGACCAGAGTCAAACTGAAGGGAACATTGCCATGCTCTGCTTCTTTAACTGTCAAGCTATAGTAGTGAGAAGATCATTCTGACACAGTGGTTTGGATATGGAGAAAGTTTAGAATACACATGGTTAACTTAAAATATAATAGCTTAAATAAAAATTATATTAAATATTGTAAATTGTAATATATGCTGACAAAGCAAGCAATCGAGGAATAGTAATTTTGTCTGATTTTTATATTATAATTTCAGTATAGATGCCTGTGGGCTGGATATAGCAAAATCATAGAGATTGTGCCATCTTAAAGTATATTTTATGGTTTGTATACTAGGCTGGCCTATTCAACCATGAGTAAACAAAATTATGACCAGATAATATACGTGAATCCAGCCACCATGTTACTAGTATTCAAATCATGAGAATTTAAAAATAGCAAAGAACAGATAAATATATATACAAGTGGGATCTATTATTAGTGGTGGGATGCTAACATTTGCAGCTTTTTTTATATACATTAAACCTTCTGAAGTTACTACATTGAGTTACAGTACTATACAATACTTTCAAATCACTGTTAATTGTATTAAAATGTGTTCTTTTATAGCAGGTGATATTATTATGAAAATAAGTGTGACAGCTAAATAGTTAAACTGAAAATTATATGTTATAATGTATTTAATGTTTTATTATTATTATTTGCCATTTGATGTAATTTCTGTTCTTGGCTCATTAGATATACTAATATTCTCTCTCTTCCAAACATACTCATGGCACGCATAACATGCAGTTTGCAACCAGAGACAATTTTAATTCAAAGAACAGGGACAAATGTAATTGCCTAAGTCCAATTTATTGTTTTATTATTGAATCTTTATTGTATTGTGACCCTTTGACACTTACAATATAATATGGGTTGTTAAGATCAAATTAGTGAAAAAATAAATGAAATTATCTTGATGATAAATTATAAAGTGTTGTCAAAGTACATTCTGCAGAAGCAAACTTTAAAAGTGAGATTTCTTGGTTTTGCTCTGAAACAGATGGGAAAAATCTTTTGTTTGTTTGTTTGTTTGTTTGTTTGTTTGTTTGTATGTATGTATGTATGTATGTATGTATGTATGTATGTATAAAGAATGAATGGAAACAATTGGCATTCTTATAGACAATACATCTAGCAATTTATATTTATTATATAAGATAATGTCCTGTTTTATATCGTTCTCAATTCTACCAAGGTCTGTATAAAATCTCCTGTTGCATTCTGCAGGGTTTCAAAGGCAACAATAAGTACTTTGAATTTCAGCTGGAATTCAATGCATAATATAGATATTATTCTTAGTGGTGGGGTTTTCCCACCAGAAATCTTACTTTTGCATCTTTGTGCAGTGATCAGGTTATCTCTGGGGCAGCCCCATATAGAATGTATTACATTAATCCAACTATATAGTGATCAAGACATGAGTTGCTATTCACATTATTTAGACAGTATTAGCATTTGTAATATGTTTAAAAAATATACATTTCACTTGTAATTCATATGATTTTAATAGCAGCTTGTATAAAAACACAGCTTTTAAAACTCTCACTAAAAGTACCGTACATGCAAATATATAGATAGCATATAAGAGCAAGAGACAAGCAATACAAATTTTAAAAATCTCAGATAAAAATTCAAACAGCAACATATGTCTTCTATTCTTCCTTAGGCTTGTTGATCATCTGTACTTTTTTATTTTTTCTCACCAAATTTTTAATAATATTCTCAGTTACTCAGTATTGTTGGGATGCACAAAATACAGTACATCATGTTACTCCATTTAGCTTCCTGCAATGGGTATCAGCCCACAAATGTTGGGCTGCAATCAAAAGTAGTATCCAGCAGGTTCTGACCAGTTCTGGAGAACTGGTAGCAGAAATTTTGAATAGTTCGGAGAACCAGCAAATGCCACCTCTGACTGGCCCCGCCTCCATCTATTCTCTGCCTCCAAAGTCCCGGCTGATTATCTGGGTCTTCTTTTGTTGCCCTGCACAGGAGAATGGAGCTGGAGAGCAGGTTAGTGGGGTGGGGAGGGAATGGGATTTTGCAGTATCCTTCCCCAAGCCACGCCACACTCACCAAACCATGCCCACAGAACCAGTAAAAAAAAAATTTAATCCTACCACTGGCTGCAATCCCATAATATCTAGTCATTATAAACCTGCATTGATACCACTGAAGTTTTTCCTTTTGATGCAGGTGGAAGCAGAATCTTCTGTCTTCTGTCAGCATAATTTAATAAGCCCAATTGTTATTGATATAACTGTGTTTGTCTGGTAAACAGTAAAAAATCCAAAATCTGAAACTTTTGCATGATGTGAAACTAGAAAAAAGAAATGTATACATAATGCTCAGAAATTCTGATGGATCACAAAAAAATATAATATATTTTTCCTTATTGTACTTTGTAAATATAGTTGATTATTTACAGATATAAAAAAACTGGCAATCAAGATGGAAAATAACGTAACAACAATTTCTCGAGAGGAACTGGAAGAACTAAAAGAAGCATTCAATAAAATAGGTAAGTTTGCTGAAGTTTTCCAAGATTTAGTTGACCCTTGTTGAGGATATAAGAAGAATAAAAATTGATCATATCTACTAATTTTTATTTCATAACCTTCTTTCAAAGATAGTATCAAGATATCTGCCATGATCATTTAATAATTGATTCTATGTACAATAATGATATTAATAATATTTCATATGTGAGTTCCCATAATACAGTGTTTCTCAACCGTGGCAACTTAAAGTGTGGACCAAGTCCCACAATATCCTAGCCACATGAAATGCTATACTGCCATAAGTTTGCTATAATCACATAAACCCTGCTGATCCCCAGTATTCACTATCATATCATGAGCGTACTGCTCCTTGTGTTGGAAATCTTGAAAAGAACCTCAGGAGCTGTGCGTTGAGGGGTGAGGTGAAAAAGTCTATGATTGGTTGGCCGAACAGATGTGACATCTCCTGAAACAATCTCAGGTGCAGGTGCCATTTGGAATGGTTGACAGTGGCCCTGCTCAACCAGTCTGCCTGGATGTTGGACAGTCCTGAGATGTGTTCTGCTTTAATGGAGATTAAGTTCCTCCTTGCCCAGCGGCACAGTCTCTCTGTCTCTCTTATTAGTGATCTTGAATGCGTGTCCCCCTGTCTGTTTATGTGGCCTTTGTGGTGACATTGTTGGCCAGGATGAAGACATGTTGTCCCTGGATCAGCGGAAAAAACTTGCAGAGGGCCAAATGGATTGCCCTCAATTCCAGCCAGTTTATGCTGCAGGGCTCTTCCATCATGGACCAATGACCCTGAGCTGTAAGGGACTGACAGTGCCCCCCCATCTCAATAGACTTGCATCTGTTGTGATTGTCTGTGAGGGTCCTTGAAAAGACAGCCCTTGTTGATGTTTGCTGTGGTCCACAGTAAAGCGATATGAGGACCTTTGATGGAATGGTGATCTTTGACCTGGCATTGCTCCTTCCTGACCATTGATACAGGACCAGAAACCATTGAAGGGTTCTGTTGTGGAGCCAAGCCCAGGGAACAATAGAAATGCATGAGATCATTTTTCCTAATAGTTTGGATAATTGGGCCGGGGTACTCGTTTGAGAGTTCTAGCCTCTTTTGACAATTGTCTAATGCTACTCTGCCTGTCTGGTGATAGGGATACTTTCCCAGCCACTGTATCAATGATGGCTCCCAAGTGCGGGAAGTGAGTCGAAGGTGTTAAATGATTCTTGGTCCAGTTTATTGAAAATCCGTGCTGTTGGAGAGCCTATCGGGTGAAAGTCCAGAAATATTTCACAAGAAGAGTTCTCCACTCCTCTACTTGTTGCAGAATACCTTATGCCACCAGACTCGAAATTTTAGACCTAGAAAACCTAGAACTATGCCGCCTTCGGTCTGATCTAAGTATAGTATATAAAATCATACATTGCAATGTCCTACTTGTCAATGAATACTTCAGCTTCAACCATAACAACACAAGAGCACACAATAGATACAAACTCAAGGTTAATCGCACCAAACTTGATTGCAAGAAATACGACTTCAGCAACAGAGTGGTCAATGTCTGGAATATTCTACCTGACTCTGTGGTTTCTTCCTCAAACCGCCAAAACTGTAACCTTAGACTGTCTACGATTGACCTTACCCCTTTCCTAAGAGGTCTGTAGGGAGTGTGCATAAGCGCACCAATGTGCCTACCATCCCTGTCCTATTGTTTCTTTTATATATTTTTTATTTTTCTTATATGTATTCATGTATTCATAACTATGTTTTTACTTATACCTATTATCTTGTAAGCAATTGACAAATATAAATAAATAAATAAAATAAAAAATATTTCAGCCTGCCAGCTGGACAATGACAAAATTAATATGTCATTGAGATAGCACTGTAGCCGAACTGGCTTACTCCTAAGATGGGCTGCTAACGCTGCCAGAATCTTTGTAAAGGTTCAGGGGTGGAGGTTAGTCCAAATGGAAGGGTTACATATTCGAAATGGTCCTGATTATAACAGAATCTCAGGAATCTGCTTTGCATGGGTCTGATAGGAATATGTAAATAGACCTCTGTTAAGTCAATTGACGTTAAGACATCTCCTTGTCTGATACTGAGAAGGATTGATTTCAAGGAGCTCATCTTAAATCTTCAATAAACCAGGAAGCGATTCAGGCATTTTAAGTCTAGAATAGCTCTCCATCCACCCAAACTTTTTGGGACCACAAATAGATGTGAATAAAACCCTTGCCCTTGTTAATCCGTTGATACGGATTGGATTGCACAGATCTCCAGCAAATGCTGAATTGCGATCTCCATAAGAGTCCTTTTGATAGGATCCATTGAAACAGGGCACATCATAAAAAAGTTTGGGGGTGTGGATAGAAACTCTAGAGAGAGACCTGATCTTTTGGACTCTCTGACCCAGGCATCTGATGTTATAGATTCCCATTGATCTGCAAATTGCCTTAACTGTCCTCCTATGCAAAAATCAGGAGTGACCTTACTTGGGGCGATGAAAGGACTTGTTTCCTGCCCCACGAAAAGACCTCCTTGCCTGCCCTTTCCAATGATTTCTGTCCACCTGTTGTCCCTATCTGTACCCAAAGGGCCTTTGTGATCTTTGGGAATAGGATCCTTGATAGAAGGGCCAAAAGAAACCCCTACAAAAGGACTGGGAAGGTCTGCTGTCAGGGTTGCAAAAAGGGGGGGGGATCTTTTTCTTATTTCAAGATTCCACCAGGAGCAGATCTAGGACAGATCTGAACAGTTTGTCCCCTTCAAAGGGGGCGGATGCCAGTTTCCATTTAAGTTTGGTGTCTGCTTGCCAATGTCGAAGCCAGAGTAAGTGTCGTGCAGTGACTTGGGATGCTATGGCTCTTGAGGAGCATTTTACTGAATTAAATGTTGCATCTGCAGAAAATTCTGTAGCTGCCATCAATTTGACTATGTCCTGATGCGCCCTGGTATTTGATGAAGGAATGGAATCTCTCAGGTGACTGAGCCACCTTAGGGAAGATCTGGTAAAGAATGAGACGGCTGCAGCCGCTCTGATGGCCCATGCGTCTGCTTTGTGGGCCCTTTGAAGTACTAACTCTGCTCTCCTGTCCTTTGGTTTGAGAGCTTCCTCTGCTTCATTAGGTATAGAGAAGGAAGATGCTAGAGCCACCACAGGTTCATCTACACTGGGGGCTAGCAGGGAGTTAGAAAATTCTGGTGCTAGATTGTAAATTTTTTTGTCATATCCCGTGGGATTGGGATAAGCAGCTGTAGTGGTGCACTGTTTTTGAATTAAATCAGTGAACATCTATGGGACTGCTATGACCTCCGCTTCAGTGACCGGCTATGAGAATATTAAGTCACCTGATTCCTTCTGCACTGAACGTGGTTGGGAGGTAGAGGTCGGATTGTCAAGGCATGCTGTGTTTTTCACCTTATAATAAATAATAAAGACTTAAACAGGTGAGGTCAGAATAGCCCTGTGAATGTCAGTTGATCAGGGGCTAAACCCTCATCTTCTGACATATCCTTTCTAGGTGGTCTGTCTTGGACAAAGACAAATCATTGCCTTGGCACGACACTGACACGATTTGTTCCAACTGGTCTATTTGGTCTTCCCTGTATTGCCTGACCTGGTCGGGCGTGTGAGGTATTGGGAGATTCTCCCTTTGGGGAGGTACCTGAACTTGAGCGGACTCTGCCCTGCTTTGCAACCGTAGTGACTGAAGATCATGGTCAGGAGCTGCTTAATGTTTTCTGCACCCCTGCTGCGTTACCTTGTTTAATAGCTAGTTCCATCCAAGCTCTCATCTGTGCAGGAATTTCTTGTGGAAGAGATTCCTCTGAGCAAAGCCCAGTTGCTGTAGGGGTAAATGTAGCCTCAGAAACCCTTTGTAGTGCAAGTATTGCAGTTGAAGTGCTTGCTTGGTTTGGCAAGATGGTGTTGTGCCAACTTGCATTGACAGATCCAGGGGAGGAGCTGGCAGGAAGCTTTGGGCAGGGACATCTCTTGGAGGAGATGTTGTTTGTTTATTTTTCTCGGCCTCCTGAAGACACTTTTGCATGTGTTTTTCTAGTGCCCTTTGGCACTTCTTAGTGTCTTTCTCAGCGGCCTTGGAAGGCTTCCTTGAACCTGTTGTTTTGCTCTGGGCTCTGGTCATGGCCCTCCTGGCTGCCACTCTGGAGCTTGAGGCAATGGAGCTGATAGAACTGCCACTTGCCATTGCACCCCCTGGATACAGGAGCTGTTATGGAGTGAGGCTTATAATAAGAGGCAGTTGGCAGGCCCAGGGGTCTGCTCCAGGAATGGGCAGGGATCCCTCAAATGTAAATGATTTAACCCCCCCTTTTAAATATATTATTATTATTATTAATCAATTAATGCCAATTAAAACAAATTGAAGCCAATTCAAATTACACCTTGAACTGTATGACACTGGGCCTGCAACAGCTTTAGTGCACAGGTGGTCACAGGCCTGGGTGCTAGCTGCTGTTCTGCTAACTCAATTTGAATGTGAGGGTTTGCTAACTAATTGTTTCAGCAATCCTTTAATTGTTGTGATTCATTACTGAAACTCCTGTAAGGCTCTGCTGGATCAGCCCTGTTAGGGTATTAACTCCTCACACCAGCCTATTTACTTAGGCTAAGCACTGAATGCCTCTTAAAAGAGTTGTGATGGCCCGTAGTCTCTCAAAATAACCCAAAACCCAAAACATACATTAAAGTCTGGTAATGCCTTCAACTTAACTTCACTGTTTTATTAGGCACAGTTTAAAGTCACAAAAGTAAATAATGAGGCAAAAAGAAAACCAAAACAAACTGCATTGACAAGAGTTCCGAAGCAAGCCAAGATAATTAACCATACATTCCAGGAAGATAACCAAGGAGAGTCCATGGGAAGAACGCCAGCAAAGATAAACCTCTTCAAAGTAAACACTAAACTTTGACTCCAGCAATTCTGACTACGCAGTTACAAACTTATATACATAGCTCCCAGCTGCAAGCCACGAGGAGGATCATGGTAATCTCCTCCTGAGTAGACCTCACTTTTCCCTGATCCTCTCCTCCCTGTGTGACCTAGGATGGATAGGGGATGGGCCTGGATCCTCCTCTGATTGCTCAGCTGGCCTCTGCCCTTCCCCAGCCTCCTCCACCACCTCTGGAGCCACACCCCACTCCCTGTTGGCTGTTCCTCTTCTTCCTCTGAGTCAGTCTCCACCAGGTACATGACAAGAGTTTTAAGTTTGCTGAGGGCAATTGCAATTAACAGCTACTTAACAAAATGGCGCCAGCTGCTATTTTTGGTGCGGAACTGTTCAGAGAAAACCCCCCAGCAAGAGCTCAAAAGTTGGAATAAAGACTCTAAATCACTGTGCTGGGTAGGGGTGATAGCGCTGAGATTTATGCTTCACTCAGAGGTGGTATTCAGCATGTTCTGACCAGTTCTGGAGAAATGGTAGCAGAAATTTTGAATATTTTGGAGAACTGGCAAATACCACCTCTGACTGGCCCCGCCCCCATCTATTCTCTGCCAGCTGAGTCCCAGCTGATCAGCTGGGTCTTCTTTTGTTGCCCTGTACAGGAGAACAGAACTGGAAAGCAAGTTAGTGGGGTGGGGAGGAAATGGGATTTTGTAATAACCTTCCCCCAGGAGTGGGGAGGGAATGGAGATTTTACAGTATCCTTCCCCTGCCATGTTCACTAAGCCACACCACACCCACCAAGCCACGCCCACAGAACCAGTAGTAAAAAAATTTGAATCTCACCACTGGCTTCATTCTATGTTTGTTCCATGATAGTATGGGTTTTGGGAAATTCAGCTAATTATCTATTGTCTCATCTCTGGCTTCAGAAGAAGATTATGAAGAGAGATGGGAGGTTTTACATTGATAAAGACTTGTAAGATGACTAGTGAGTAATGAATTGGCATATAATAGATTGAATACAGAAGCAAGGTAAAATCTTATAAAAATCAGTTTGGCAAAAATAAATATGAGACAGATATAAAGGAAAATAAATTGAACATAAGGAATCCTATCAATTATACTGCATAGAATATTTCTACACCAATACACAAAATATGGGTTAAACAGGCAAGATGAGCTAGAGCTTGCCATAAAGGCAAGTGTAATATAAAAAGATTATATAACATAGTAAGATGAATCCCACCGGTAGAGCGTTGGATTGATAGGTAAACTTTATTTCAGAGGAACAGGCAATACATTATATACCAGAAATGAATTTACCTACAGAGAGATCCATTGGACTGAAAATAACACATGTGTTATTTGAAATGGCATGTTGAAATGGCAAACTAATAGAAGTACTATGTTCCTTGAGGTCTGATAAAGACTACCAAATCAGTCATTAGATACATGTAACCTTTTTAAAGCAGATAATTGAAGCTTTGAAAAATCATGAAGTATTTATAATGATATATCAAGATATGAATTGAAAGACTAATTTTGTCAAACGTAAAATGTCTGATATTTTTTTTTACCTATGATGATGATTTTCTCTTTCCAAAGAAAAAATTGTGGTGGGCAGTAGGCCAATTTATTACCTTAAATTTGTCTCTTTCTAAAGATACTAAATAAAGGTAAACTTGGATGCAGTGGCTACTTTGTTAGAGTTTTTGATATAACAAGCACTTGAAAAAATATCAACTTAAATAATGGTTTTTAAAATGGCCAATGTTAATACAGTAAGCTAATGGAAATGATAAAAGGATAATATGAAGATACTTAAAGATACTATAATTGATTGAAACATCTTGAAAAGAACAGTGCAATATCAGAACATACTAACAAGAAAGAAAACTAGGAGACACCTGAAGATCCAATGTCATTAAATAGGTCACAAAGGATCTTACTAAAGGGTGTTAACAAAGAGAGTTAACACAACTTCATCTCAGAAATAAGGAATAAATCAGAAAAACAAAGGTACAAGGTGAGATACCATTAGCAAGAAATACAATTATCTATTAACTTTAGGTTACTTCAAATATGCTGAAAGCAAAAGAAAACAGAATGAATAAGCATAAGATGTGATGAGAAAGTCTTATTTAACAATAACCGCACACACACAGCCCACAGAAGACCACTAAAATATAAATACGTTCTCAGCTAATCTGTTTGAAATGATAATACTTCAGCAAATATATATTATCTGTTACTAAAGATAGCCTAAATTCAAGAAGGTAATAACAAAACAATAAAAATGTATTATTTTAAAACAGCAATTGAAATATCAATAGTAAGAAAGCAATTTTGTTTTGCAATTTATAGACATTGACAATAGTGGATATGTCAGTGATTATGAACTTCAAGATCTTTTCAAAGAAGCAAGTCTTCCATTACCTGGCTATAAAGTTCGTGAAATTGTGGAAAAAATTATAGCAGTGACAGATAGTAACAAGGATGG